TCCTTCTCTTTCTAGCTTGTACTTATTTGAACAATGTCTAAGAACTTGGTATTACAACCACTTCCTGTGTCTGTTTGCCTCTTAAGAAGAATCGCTTTATGTATCACCCAATTGTAAGTCGCTTTGGATAAAAGCGTCTGCTAAATGACTAAATGTAAATGTAAATGTAAATCAAATAATTTAAACACAGAAAGATAAATATCTGAAACATTGGACAGAAGCAACAGCTCAACAAAGTAAATTAGAATGCTATCGGTCTCTAAACAGAGAATATAAATTGGCAGAATACCTAAACACAGTGGCAGACCCTAAACTAAGAAAAGTCCTGACCATGTACAGACTCAGTGACCATAACCTCACTATAGAGACAGGCAGACACAGACAGACCTGGCTACCAAAAGAAGACAGATTGTGTCCACACTGCACACAACATGAAGTGGAAACAGAACTGCACTTTTTAACAACATGCCCTAATTATACACAAATTAGGGAAACATTCTTCCCCCAATTCACAAACCAGCACAAAGACTTCAACCAGATACAACAAAAGGACAAACTGCCATATATTCTGGGAGAAACCTCAACAAGCTCTAACCTGGCTGCAAGGTACATCAAGTCCTGCCATGATAAAAGGACAAGCAGTAGAACAGAACCACAAGTCACAGCCGGAAGAAAACACTGGACAACACACATAAACTGACATGACAGGATCCAGTCCTTCTCTCTCTCTTTATTAGTACTTTCATTTTACTGTATACAGATATATAGACTCTATATGCTATATACTTCTACTCTTATGTATATTTGTGTTAAATGTCTATTTAAATGTTTCTATGCTTTGGCAATGTAAAGATACTTTTTTACCATGCCAATAAAGCTACTTGAATCTGAATCTGAGAGAGAGAGAGAGAGAGAGGGTGGGTGGTAGGGTCAGCTTGCTGTGAACCTGCTGACTAACGTGAGAAATTTGTAACATGATATCATTTTCTCTCTTTCTGTCTCATACCTGGGCTCTGTTCCAAAACCTAGTGAGCTGCCTAGGTAGATAACATTTTAAGCCATCAAAAGTGTCAGTCTAAAAGGCCTTCTTTTGCCACATGTATATTGCCACATATTCATATGTCCTTTCGTAATTGTATTTTCTTTGAAATATGGTTAAAGTGTACAATACTGTCAGATTTACTGACAAGCAATTATGGTAAAAAGAATCATGTATGTCGTGTTTACATATGTTTGTAATTACACATTTGTAATGATGAAGTTTCAGTTTAGTATATTTAAAATATATTAACTTATAACTTATATTGAAAACACTACAGTTTAAATAATATTTAAGCACTTTACATGTGTTTTATGTTAGTCATATATGCAAATAAGTGTACTTTAAAACACAACAAAATATGATTAAAACAATGATTTAAAAAGTATTTTAAAGTTAAACTTTTAATTTGACATTCTTATAAAAGAATGTACTTATGTGTGTTAGGAAACAGTCATGAAGTTGACCTCTCTTTAAGTGCACTTAAGTGGATTTTATTTCATTAATATTATATTATCTGCAAGTTGTAACGGAAGAGGTCTGACGCAACAGGTTAGTATTTATAAAACAGTTTTATTTGGTCACAGAGAGTACGGGTGTAGGGTCCAGATGATGTGATGGAGACTGAATAGTTCGTAGACCAGTTCAAAGGATATGACGAGTGGAGTAATCCGAGTCTTTGGCTTTACAGGAGCTGGAATGCACACAGGAGGAACACACACCTCAGCGATCCGGGAACTAGGAGGAACAGGAGACACTTGGAGACACTAGGAGGAACACAGAAGGTAAGTAATGCAGTAAGTATTCAAATGAAAGTAGTAGCAAAGTCATTGAGTCCTCTACGTGTATACGAGACCGGACAGTGAGGGTGTCTGAGGTGTGTGCTTTTATGCAGGCTGGTTGATGAGGTGCTAGATTGGTGACAGGTGCAGGTGCTCAGAATTCAGGTGAGAGGGATCGTTGTGATTGGGTGGTGGTGGAGCCTGGCCGATCTGTTACATTAGGTTTGAGTAGGCTAAACGATGACATAATTAAACATTTTTGGGTGAACTATTCCTTTAAAGTGTTTTTTCCCCTTTTTTTCTTTAAAATGAAATAATACTCTAAATAAGGCCATGTCCACACGTACACGGGTATATTTATAAACTGAGTTTTTCCTTCTTCCGTTTTAAAAAAAATCTCCCTCCACATGAATATATATATATATATAATACCATAATTATACATCTCAAAAAAGTATAGTACACTTCGATAATTGTGATTATAGAACTAAATGAAATCAGTCAAAAAATAATAGTCAAAGAATAGTCATATATAGTGGATATATAAATTATATAAATAATGATCTAATATTTAATATCTAATGTAATATTTTTGCTGTAAGAACTTAAATTAATTTAAAAAATCTTTTAAATTCATTCTTTATTTATTTATTTTTACTATGACGTTATGTAAAAAAAAAAATAGATATATGTATTCAACACCATAATTATACATTTCAAAAAGTATAGTGCACTTCAATAATTGTGATTATGGAACTGAATGAAATCAGTTAAGGAAAAGTCAAACAATAGTCATCTATAACAATAGTCATCAAATATATATATATATATATATATATATAAATATATATATAATATTTTTATATATATTAAATATATATAATTGACTGCCTTGCTCTCAGTTGTTGAAGCCCAAGATATCATCATATCTCAAGATATCTTGGAGAGGTGAGGTGTCCCAAGTCGCAACATCTAACTGCTGGGATGCCTCAGGGCTCAGTTCTTGGACCATTTCTCTTCTCTGTCTACATGGCATCACTAGGTTCTGTCATTCAAAAACATGGCTTTTCATATCACTGCTATGCTGATGACACTCAACTCTACCTCTCATTCCATCCTGATTTAAATATATCAGGATGAGATATATCAGTAGTTTAAATGGGAAAAATAATATCTGCTTACAATATCTGCCTCGTACTGATGATTAAAATAAAACACTACTATACAAAACACCTTTTTCATTTCAGTTTTATGAGCTACTGAACGCTTTATTGATGCTTTGATGCTATTGATGTTTCTTCACAGTCTTTGCGGAAGGTTGGGCAGGACACGACCGTTCTGCTCATCTGTATCACAGTGTTTCTGTCCTATCTGCCCGAGGCGGGTCAGTACTCCAGCTTTTTCCTCTACCTGCGTCAGGTAAGCTGTTTATTCTTGGTTTTTAATGCACAAATGTAAAGGTTCTATATTTAATGTTCCTGATTAAAGCAGCTGTCTGCTTCCATTAAACTTTCATCGGCGGTTTATCCTGCAGGGTGCTTTATTTATGCTGCCTTTTTTCACTGTCTGCTGTTGTTGAACAGTCCCATGATTCATGCTGCACTGATGACTGGAAGGTTTTTAGCTGCAGCATGCTTCTAATTAACTAAACAAGTAGGATCAGTAAACAAAAACACTACCATACTACTCATACTGCTTCTGCATGATGACCAACAAAATGTGCTAACTGTAGTAAATATTGTATTAAATACTTATTGTATTAAATATTTTTCAATTGTTATTTTTTTGTAAATTCTATTAAATATCGTTATAAAAGTGTTTTTTTTTAAGTCTCATGCTCACCAAGGCTGCATTTATTTGATTAAAAGTACAGTAAAATTAAAAAGAGTAATATTCTGAAATATAATTACATTTTAAAATAAAAACTGTAGTAAATATTGTTGTAAATACTCTTTTTAAAAAAAAAATTTTTTATATTGTAAAATGTAATTTATTGCTGTGATCAAAGCTGAATTTTCAGCATAATTTCTCCAGTCTTCAGTGTCACATGATCTTCAGAAATCATTCTAATATGCTGATTTGCTGCTCAAGAAACATGCCAGATTATTATCAATGTTGAAAACAGTTGTGCTGCACAATATTTTTGTGGAAACTGATACATTTTATTTTTCAGGATTCTTTGATGAATAGAAACTTTAAAAGAACAGCACTGATTTGAAGTTAATAAATGAAGTAATAAAAGTATTACTTTTTCCTATTTTCCCCTAATATATATTTATTTAGTTTTATAATTACTTATTTATAATAGCTGGACTCTATTTCACACACTCGTCGGTTTCTCAGGAAGTTCGGGGTTTGGCTGGATTGTTAGTGGCATCCTGTCTGAGTGTTGAGTTGAGTTCAGTGACGGCTCATTACTGGATATAGCAGAGTTCATTGGCTCGGGGTGCGCTGGTGCAGACTGATGGTGACGCAGCTCTTTCTCTTTGTCTCTCAGGTCATTAACTTCTCACCCAAAACGATTGCGGTGTTCATCGGCGTGGTGGGAATCCTCTCAATCCTGGCGCAGGTATTTAATTGAGGCAATATTCTTGGCTCTGCCTTATTACTCGTGTCGCTGAGCCGGCGAGGCGTCTCGTGAAAGTGGCTTTCGCAAACGCTTTCTAATTGAATTGAATTCCTTTAAAAGTTCAGCGGTAAATGTAATGAAATATAGGCAGGGCTGTAATGAGCAGATAGCATGGTGTAAGCTGGTTTATTTAAGTGGAGGGGTTTTATTTTTAGCCCCACAACAAGCAAGTTGAATTCTAGCAGCTTTGCTCTGATTCAGTACGACTCAGCAATGAAAATGATGGTTCAGTATAATAACAATAACAGCCTGTAACGAATCATCCACTGAAGGCGAGCGTAAGTGAGAACCCAAGTGCAGTTTATTTACAGGTGATCCAAACATCCAAACATAATCCAAACAGACGAAGACTAGATACACAGACTTGACTTGACTTGACTTGACTAGGCATGAACAGACTTGACGAGGCATAACAGACTAGACTCACCGACAGCGGGTTACAACAGTGATAAAGTCCACAAAAATCCTGAACATAATCCTCTATGGAGCGATTACCTTGACGGAGGCGAACTAGGCGATCTGCTGGGTTCATTTTGTTCTTGGTGGTGTATTCTGTAACGAATGCATTATATTTTGTGAGAAAGTATGACACACAATTTTTGAAATCGGAACCCAAAATTTGTATGAAACGACTATTTGTTCAGCAAATATGTTGCAGGGCAGTGTGATTATTTATTCTCATGTTCCCGCCAGACGCTGTTTCTGACTTTATTAATGAGGACCATCGGGAACAAGAACACGGTTCTTCTGGGTCTGGGTTTCCAGATTCTCCAGCTGGCCTGGTACGGTTTGGGGTCTGAGCCGTGGTGAGTCAAGAGAAATGACCTGCTTATGCAAACATTACAGAACAATCATCTGGTTTAAGAAGAGCGAGTCACTTCTGTTTGATGTCCAGAAGCGATTGTCGTTTATGCTGATGTTATATTTGTTGTCGTTTAGGATGATGTGGGCGGCCGGCGCGGTGGCAGCCATGTCCAGCATAACGTTCCCTGCAGTGAGCGCTTTAGTGTCACGCAGCGCGGATCCAGATAAACAGGGTAATCTCTTATATGCGAACTTTCAAGATTTTAACTGTTCAAAACTTTAAGGATTGAAGAAAAACAACTAATGAACCGTGCACTATGAGAGCAGGAACTTGTATTCAGAAAGTACACATTTTTATTTCATGTTGGCTTCTAAGTGAAAATCTGAGGCATTTAAATAATAATAATAATTTGTTGCATTTATATATCGCTTTTCTAGACATTTAAAGCCATTTTTCCCTCTGTGTGTGCTGTATTACCTCAGGTCTGGTTCTGGGCATGATAACAGGGATTCGGGGGCTCTGTAACGGTCTGGGTCCGGCACTGTACGGCTTCATTTTCTTCCTCTTTAATGTGGAGTTGAGCGGGATCACCTCCATCCAGCCCGACTACGCCATCCCACTACAGAACTCCACAGAGGTACAGGTGTCAGTCTGTCTGCTATTTGGCTACAATAACTTTGGTTGAAATGATTAAAAATGTACTTTTAAGGTGACTCAAGAGCAAATAAATGAATAATAATAATTAGGGCTGCACGACTATGACAAAAATCATAATCGTCGATTATTCCCTTGAAATTGTAATTGCGATTGTTAATTATTTGCTTTTCTTCTATTGTCCTCATTTCAAGTCGCTTTGGATAATAGCGTCTGCTAAATTACTAAATGTAAATTTCAATTAATCACTTTAAGAGCAGAAAATTAAAAAAATTAAAAATATAAAAATAGCACTAATTCCGAGTATGGGTCACCATACTTGGCCACATGTCTTCACATGTCATGTTCACATATATATATATTATTTTGCTTTGCACAAAACTTTTTTCTAAAGTACAAAGTATATATCTGTATGTGTGTAAAAATATATTTACTATAGATTCACTATACATTATCTATTTCGTACAAAACCTTTGCTGTATGATGTAATATAAAAATTATATATATTATATATAATAAAAATATAACATTTGCCATATTTGCACAAAACTGTTTTACTGTAAAAAAAATTTTAAATGCTTATTTTGAATGTTTATAAATTATAATGATAAAAATATATAATTTCGCATCAGCGAAATTAAGTAAAATCTTATTACGATCATAAATGTTATTCAGAACAGGAATGAAAAATTTAAGTAAAAAACAAACATAATTATAGTGGAAAACAACATTTATTAGAAACACCAAGCCTAAACGTATTTATTTAAACCGAACTACCGGCATGTGGGAAATATACTGTACAAATAAACTTGGCTCATTAAAAACGTTACTTACATTGCGGAAAATACTTGATATATTTATTTAATATATGTATTGTCTATATCTAAGTAAATACTCACTCAGTAGCACAAACAGTGTCATAAATCCTTGATGACTTCCTCTAATGTTGCTTTCTTGTCGCCTGTTTTGCGCAGAAGACCACAATCCCCGGTCCTCCGTTCCTCCTGGGCGCCTGTACGGTGGTGGTGGCGTTTCTAGTCGCTCTCTTCATCCCGGACCACCCCACGCCCCCAGCGACGCCCTGCCAAACCCATAAGAGCAGCGCGAGTCTAGCCGGCGCTCACACCAACACGTTGCTGCCGGGGAGCGACGACGACGTCGAACCGCTGCTGGAGGACAGCAACGTCTGACTCTCAAACTAAATCACATTTGGAAAAAAATGAAAAAGGCGTCAACACATTGCAAACACTCCACCTGTCGGCGACTAACATTTGAGAGCGTGCAGTGTTTATTTTTTTGTTGTTTATGACAAAACGGTTATTGGTTTTGAACTCGGAGGCTTTTTTATGAAGCGTTTTTACAGTGTTTAACATGAATCAACACACTAAGGGCTCAATCAGTGAGATCGGATGCGTTCGGTTTGATTGAGTTTAAGTGCAAAGCTCTTTATGTACTGTATATAGATATTTGGGCGAAGTGCAGTAAAGTTTATTGTATGCGGAGCTTGTGGTGGCTTGAAGCTTATCGTTGCTGTCATGAGATTGAAGAAAAACTGGGTGAATTTCATGAAAACATGGCCATTGCAACCTGAAGAAGAAAATAAAGCCTGTTTTTAGTCATTATTTTCAAGCACATTTTCTCCCTGCTTAAAACAGGCTTTGTTTGCATGAAGAAAAATCACATTTCCTGTGATTTTAAACAGATTTCATAAAATTCACCCAAACGGAAATTTGAGATTAATACACAGACAGTATTTTTATACTGCAGCGAATGAAGCCTTAAAGTCACATATCCTGTGGCGTATGACAAGGTTTTAATAGATTAGAGATGCATCTGGTTGCATGAACAATATTTGTGGCGATGTTAACCAAACCCGAAACACTTGAGCACCAGCGGTTTGGTGTAGTTACTGATGCTAACGTAGTTCTTCTAGGCCAGTTAGTTGTTTCGGACACGGCTTGATTGTGAAATTCTTGAACTGTGTGTGTGTGTGTGTGTGTGTGTAAAGGTTCTATGCAGTAGTGATCAAAAATGGCATTAAATTTAGAAGTAAAATGGCTTGCGAATGCCATTTCATGTTGAGAAACATGGGTGTTTAAAATGACAGTATTGCTTAAAATATTACATTTGTACAAGTGAAATTTTACCTTCATTTTTACTTTGGAGAAAAGAATTGGCAAAGTGCATTTGTTAAGCTATTTTACTCAATATTTATATATTTCCTTAAGGATAATTCGTATTTATTAAAAATCAGCCAACATCTACGTACCAACTACCTCATTTTTGGAGGTTTCGATGATTTTGTGAAATGAGGTTAGATTCGACCTAACTATATTTTTATTTGCATTTTGTTTTTTTATAGCCACAATCCATTTTCAATACAGGATTTTGGATTTTTCCAAGATTCATTAGAATTACAAAAGAATTTCATTATTTTGTTCACGAATTCCATATTTTCTCATACAGTGAACGTTTTCCAAGCTAATGATTTGTTTTGCATGAACACCCGTATGAATTTCCAGAACGATGCTTTATATTTCCGAGGCCTCTGTCTTGTTTGTGTGAAGAACACTGTGGAGCGTCTCTTTAGAGTTTGCGATCATTGTTTGACTGACCTGTGCTCATTTCCTGTTCCACATGCGCATCATTTCCTCCACTTGCTGTATTCCATACAAACATGGCAGATATTCCATTCAGAACCCTTCCGGTGACCTGTGAATCAGACAGAGATCGTGAACAGAATCTGAATATTTGCTTTCCATAATTTATTCTCCACCCTTTAGTCTTTTTCCATGGGTTTGCATTATTTCAGCCATATTTATAATGCAGCGACGTGAAACTTTAAGCTTGAAAATGTGTATTTATGGCATGACTGCGGAACGTGTGTAACGGCTCAGCCGTAGTTCCCGCGCTTTTTGGGTTTTGAATTCGTGCACAGCTTCTAACGGCAGTTTTAACATGTAATATAACGACGATCATGTTCATTATTTTAGGATTGTAAAGTATTGCATATTGAATAGTATTACAGAAAAACTTTTACATGTTACCAGACCCGCAATATTTTTGGAACAATTAACGCGCCGCTCCAAACAAGGTCAACCGATCGTCAGAAGCGTCGCGGGCGTTCACTAGAATAACTTTCGCTTTTCCTTTCTGAACTTGTCAAGTATTTGTGTGTCTTTCAATGGGATACACAAGGTGCCTCAAGTGTAAAACATGTTCATTTGTAGTAGATCTGAGTCTGACTGTAAATACATTGAGCAGCTGATGAAGATGAACTGTACAGGGATCCTTATGTAGCCTATTTATTGTCATGTATTGTGGGAATCTATTAAATAGGTGAAAATGAACAACGCTTAGAGTAATGCCTGATGCGTTTCTTATTGTGCTACTTACGTTCTGGGATTTCTGAGAACCATAACATAAAAATGACTTAGCATTACCTCGTTTTTGACATGTACCACAGTAATAACAGCATGATGTATGAATATGGTAATCAGTAGTACCATGAAATGTCTAAAAGAACCAAGGTATAATGTGGCCATTGTCTCATAATCACATTTAGCGCAACATGTTTGCAGTCTTTAACCAAAAACATTAAAATGTAGTGTAAATTGACCATGCATTGAAATATTTTCATAAATATAAATATTCCAAATGCGTGATCATTTATTGTAAATCAGATTGGGAGTTCATTTCAAAATGTCAACCAATCAACGTGCAACAAATTCCTGCCCAATATAACACAGATGCAAAGTCATCAAAGGTTCCTTGGTGTTTTAATGCATATGAAATACTCTTAAGTCTCCACTCGAGTCCTCAGATTTCCTCTGGATGGCAGTGTTGATGTCTCCGAGATGTCTGAGTCTGACTGATGCTTGAGATCTCATCAGAATAACCTCAGCACAGAATCTAAATACCTCAAATTAAAAACACACCATTTCTGTTCACTTAATTAGAAACTATTGGTTTAGTTTTCACATTGATAAATTACTAGCACTGCCATTACTATTGACTACATCAGTGTTGTACCCACCTAAACGAACAATGCATCCTCAAATTAATTCATTAACTTGTTTACTTGCGTTTACTCAGATCAGTTGTTTCTTCATGGACCTCCAAAGTTGTTTGGCAGCAATGTATCAAAAGATAGTACACTATGCCTATATACACTTTATTCTAAAGGTTCGTTCACACCAAGAACGATAACTAAGAGCAAGAACATAACGATACCATTTTGTTTATTATAATCATGTGCTGCAGTTTTGTCATCTGCCACATTAAAAGCTCAAGTTCTTTAAAGCATTGGCTGGCTGCCAATGTTTTATTGTTTATCAGCTGGAAAAAGTCATTCTGAAAGATTTCGCTATTCTCATTGAACAGAATTAGCTATTTAAACTTTATAGTTTTCGCCATTTGGTGTGAATGGGCCTTTAAGTCTTCTGCACCATTAGAGAGAAAAAAACAAAAAACCCTGGACCTTTCCTGTTCGTTTTTACAGACACAACACAATGAGTAATTCAAAATTCAGCAAAAACACCTGTGCAAAATCAATACAGAACATTCCTTAATATATTGGGCCCTGTTTTTACAGACGTCTTTGAGATTGTGAAGTCATATGATGCTTTATTTGACAAAACAGACCAAAAAAAAAAAATATTGCATTTCCACATATACAAACTTTCTGCCTTGCAATATATTTTGGCCAATCAAAACAGATAATTTTGGTTTCTAAATGCTTAATACAGTGTTAAAGTGGTGCTAAAATACACAAAATAGTGTGACGTGACACACCATCTACTTTTGACGTCAGTGAGGCACTAAAGGCCATGCTATATTGTTATTGTTGCCAATATAATCAATGTGACAAGCTCAAACATTTTTTGACACTGTGCATGCTATCACACATCTGTGTAGTTCATAAATATTTATAGTAGTAGTTTTGACATGCTCTCTCTCTCGGGAGCAGTGAATGGATTACATCATGTATTTTTATGCATCAGCTGCATGTCTCCAACACAGAGGTCACATCAATGTGTTACTGTGATTCTTGAGGAGAATGTTCTCACTCTCACCCTAGTGTGCTTCTAGTGCACGCTATACTGAGCAGGATTCTCCGTTCTGACGATGCAATTACACTTCACAGCACCTTTATGGTCCTAAATCACCTCCTGCCCGCGATTTTGGTTCCACTGATGGTCTTTTATGACGAGACACACTATATGAGCGGTTAAAGGGTTAGTTCAGCCAAAAATGGTCATTCTGTCATCATTTACTCACCATCATGTCGTTCCAAACCTGCATGACTTTCATTCTTCTGTGAGACACAAAAGTAGAACTTTAGCAGAATTCAAAATTTAACAGCAGAATGTAACATTCTTTTAAATACAATGAAAACAGACTGATTACAAATATGAAAAAGCACCATGAAATCATTACAATAGTAGATGCAAGATATATTCTAAGTCTTACGAACCTATAATTACAGTGAGACCTGATTTACAATCTCAGGCGCCACTTTACAATTTTAAAGTGCAGTCGCACTCCAGCAAACACAGAACTTTGGTTCCCGTTTGGTTATTTTTTTGAGAACCAAGAAATAACATTCTAGGAACGTTCTTTTCAGGTTTTATTTTTGCAAACATAAAAATAAAACGTTCCTAGAACGTTGCAGGGTGGTTATTTTTTAATACCCTAAAAATAACTTATACAGAATGTTCACAAATGGTTATTTTTAGGTTATTATTTTGCAACCATAAAAAAACGTTAATTGACAATGCATACGACGTAGAGGCAAACAGATCTCGCACAGATTATGAACGCAACACGCTAACGTACACGTTCTCCCACAGAAAACCATTATAAAGAAAATCCTTAATGTGGCTTAATGCATTACGACAGTGATATTAGAAAACCAAATAAAGTATTAATAAATCATACTATGTACAAGCAAGCAGATGAACATAGAAAGAATAGGAACGCAATGTCCTAACGTGCACGGTAGGCTTTTCCAAAACCATTATAAAGAGAATGCTTAATGTATTAAGACAGTGACATCGGTGGACCAAATTCGGTATAGGCTATTAATAAAACATACTATTTACAGGCAAACAGATGAAGCCAGAATATGAAAACACCCATAGAAACTCATTATAAAGAAAACTTTTTTTTACGGCGATTGAAATACTATGACATATGCGTATATGGATTGCAATTAAATGCCAAAACGTCCACGTATCTTTGTTTTTTTAAAGATATTTTCTTCTTTTGAGAGGTGATCTAAAATGCTCCAGTGCTGGACGTTTTGCGCGCCGATCATGTGACTAAAACTACAAATAGAAACTTTTGTTCAGTAAATATGAGAAGGACTTTCTTCCATGTTTCTCAAAAAAAGGTAGACATTAGCCGGGTTTCCATCCAAAGTTGCGAATTTAACTTGTGCGCAAAATTGGAATATCGCATAAAACATTTGCGAACAAGCACTGACCATGACAACATTTCAGATGCTGTGCAACTAAATCGGCCCGCTGGTTAGTCAGGTTTTGCTGTCCCATAGCACAAAGTCACATGAATTTTTGAACACTTTCCAAATTTTTGGATAATTTTTGTTTACCGCTTTGGATTTTTAAAAATATATCATAATAATATCCAGTAGTGTATATTAAATATTAAATCTAAAAATATTTTATATTTTGTGATATTGTATTATAATATAATTCAGTATATAATATATAAAATATATAATATTCAAACTATTATTTTTTTAGATTAGATTTGATTTAATATATATTGTATTCAATATCATATATTACATATTTTTTATATATTATTGTGTATATCATATGTATTACAGATGATATATTTTAATATATGAAATATTTAATATAAATATCACTTTTGTTTAATGTACAAAATAAATATTTGTACTTAATATATAATATCAATTCTAGTAAAACCAAGGTCAAAACTAGGTCTTGATATTGAAACAAGAAAATATCTAATATGAATTAAGCGAAGAGTTTTATGAAGACTCATTTACTTCTAAAATT